CAGCTGAAAACAGAGAACAAAGGAGGAAACTGGAAAGTGCTATTTAAGGAATTTAAGAAAAGCCACTTGAGTCTGACAAGCTAATGAACCATGAGACTTGGCCGAAAGCTGCCAAGGTGGCAGGGTCTGGTACCTGGAGGTGTGGATAAACATCTCAGAAGGTCAAAATGTCTAGGATAGACTGCCACCAGGGCAGAAAGGGAGGGGCTGAGGTCTAAAGGGCACTGGGAGGCCTCAGGGATTTCCAACTTGTCTCAAGCAGAGCTGTGAACTTCAGTAGCTCAAACCTCCACTGGCTGCCCCCAATTTCAACCCTGTGTTATGCAGAGAAACTTAACCCTGACATAGATGGCAATGTTCCCATATTCTTTGGTGGAGACAGAATGATGATCCTCAGGACAGCAGGAACTGGATGACCACAGGCCAGGGAAGTCAGAGGAAGATTCCGGCATCCAGTGAGCACTGATTCTCAAGTAGGGGTGACTGCTCCCCAAGGGATATAATGTCTAGAGACATTTTTGGTTGTTAAAACTGGGTGTGGGCTACTGGCATCTGGTGGGTAGAAGCCAGGGATGCTGCTCAACATGGTATAATCACCCCAGAGCAAAGAATGATCCTCCAGAAAGCCAGTAGCGCTGAGGCTGAGTTGAAAATGCCACAGATCTTCTCACCCACACTAGAGAAGTAATGAGCACTACCTTTACTGGGTTAGCAGGCACTGTGCTGGGTGTTTTACACACCATTGAAGGCACCTCAAAACCTACTAGCTGCCAGGCACTGCTCACATATCATAACCAATATATATGCACATTCATTCCTCTGACTGTATTTACTGGGCTCTGGAGACAGACTGTGCGGGTTCAAATCCCTACACTGCCACTTCCTAGCTGGACAATTATGGGAAAGTTACTTAACTTCTCTGTGCCTAACTTTCCTCATCTGTAAAATATGATTGATAATAATGGTATGAACTTCATAGGTCTATGAGGAGTAAATAAGGCAATAAACAGGGAGTCCTTAGAACAGTGCTTGGCACATAGTAGGTGTTCATTAAATCTCAGTGGATAAGAGCATGGGTTCTACTGATGGCTGTCGGTGTGGATCCTGACTCTAGTTCTTATTAGCTGTGCAATCTAGGCAAATTACTGAGGCCAGTTTTCTTGTGTGTAAAATGGGAGTTTCCACAGGGAACAGAAGATAGGGCATTATTCGCTGTCCTTAGAACAGGCCACCACCCATGGGAGTGTCACTGACATGAAAGTGGCCATTTCTGTTAGTGCTATTAAAGTTGATCATTAAGTGCCTAGAGACACAGCCATGGATCAGATACCTGGTCAGGGGTGCTGACTAGGAAAGGACCAATTAATAAGCTACAAAATAAAATCCATATAACCCCCTGCCAAAGAAAAGCACCTTCATTCCCATTATCTGGATGGGAAAACTGAGGCTCAGAGCAGTGAAGTGACCTGCCCAATATACACAGCTAATAGGTGTTGGAGGTCGGTCAGTCTCCAGCAGCCTAGCTCTATCTGTGTATCTGCCCAAAATGGAATCAAAGTCCAGGTTCCCCCGCTCAAGCTGACCTTCAGGGGGAGGCCACGCCCAGTGGTTGCCTCTCAGCAAGAAAGCAGAAGTGCAAGTTCAACCTCCTGGGAGGTGCAAGATAAGGCCCTAGAGTCCACCACATTCTACAGAGAGATCCTGCTCCCTGTGGCCTCGCAGACAAGCTGCTGGGCAGAGCCAAATGGAGAACAGTCATGGTGAGGGCGGCCATCCCAGCGCAGAGAGACCAAACACCCACATCGCACACACCATCTTTGATGGGCCTTCGCTCGATGCTGTCGGTCTCCAGCTCCTCGTGGGACAGAAAGATCCTGAGGCGTTTGAGGGAGACACTTGCCTACACAGGAAGCAATTACAGGCTCGGTTATTTTTAAAAGCATTTTTGCAAAACAGCCCCCGGGCTAACATTCAGTGGTTTCCCTGTGTGCAGAGGGCCACACCCTCCCCCATTTCTGAAGGCTCTGCATTTCCCACAACCAGCATGCACCTTAGAATAGAAAGTAAAACACATTTTGGTTCCTGTTTGTTTTGCTTTAAAATCCCACAACTGGTACTAACAAGGACTGTCCCAGATGCAAAGGGACTTGAGATACATTATAACCAAAGGCAATGGTCCCATTTAAGGGCACAAAACCCCGGCAAGGAGACAAGTCCTAGAGCCAAAATGCACAGCAGAGTGGCCAGAGTCAACAGGATTGGATTATAAACTTCAAAGTTGCTAAGAGACTAGATCTTAATTGTTCCCATTACAAAAAGGGAAATGATAATTATGTGACATGGTAAGAGTTGTTGGTTGACACTTCGGTGGTAATCATACTGCAATATATCAATGTATTAAACTTACACAATGTTATATGTCAAATATATCCCAATAAAAATCAATTTAAAAAAACAATGGTTCTGCTTCAAACAGCCCAACTGTAAAGGCATTAATGAGACAATCTGTGGTAGGCAGCTAGACAAACAGGAGCAGAGCAAGGACAATGGGCCAGGTACAAGAAGGTCACCAGGATAGAAAGGTCAAAGGACAATTGTAGGGTGGAACCTCACCCCCAGGGTGACCTTTCCTCCCTTGGCATATGGCTGATCTTGTGCTTTAGACCCCCTGACCTTTTCTCCCTAGAGATAACATCTAGGCCTCAGTTGTATTTTAGCTCCAGGCCCAGAAAAGCAGCAAAACCAGACAAGTGACACCACAGCTGACCTCAGGACCAGCAGCATTGAATAATGACCCCTGCCCTGGCTGACCTCAGGACCAGCTGCATTGAATAATGACCCCTGCCCTGGCTGACCTCAGGACCAGCTGCATTAAATAATGACCCCCTACTGGTGATGACCACCAATCAACCAGTGGAGACTCTGATCCTAAAAGGACACACCTGGAAAGCTGCTGAATATTCTATTGAGATCTTCCCCTGGAACCTCCCCTAAAACCTCCACCCTTAAAACCCTTAGGACAGAGGACCCAGGAGGGCCCTGCTCAATCTCCCTCCTGGGAGCACATCCACACCTTTCCCCTTCCCATCCCCTCAGGTGCGTTACCATTACCTTCCTGACTTCCAAGCTCCAAGGGCCCTTCCTTTGCCTCTATAATTTGCTTCCTAAGTCCATTTCTTCTAACGACTTCTACCTCTGTGACTTTCTAAATAAACCTTCTCTTATAGTTTGAGTCTTGACTCTGAATTCTTTCCTAGCCAGGACTCAAAGACTGAGGTTGCTGAACCCAGGTCTGGTCTGACCCCACCCATCTAGCACCTGCTCCTGTTCCACCACTGCCAACAAATCCAGAAAATTTTAACAAGGACTGAGTATTATTTTAAGAAATGACTGTTAACTTTGTTAAGCATGATAACGGTGTTACAATTATGCAAGAAGAAATGCACGCTGATATATTTATGGGTGAACTGCCAAGAGGCTTGGATTTGCTTTAAAAATTTCCAGCAAAGAAAAAAAAACAATGAAGGGAGGGAGGGATGAGGGAGGGAGGAAGACGGAAAAAGGATCAGATAAAGCAAGCAGGACAAAATGTCGAAGCTGGGTGATGGGTACACAAAGTTCATTATCAGTGTCTACTTCTGTGTAAATTTGAAATGTTTCATAATAAAAAGTGTTTTTATTTGCTTGTTTTTTTTAATAAAGCCTACGACCAGAGTTGTACAAACAAATCTTAAGACTGACTTGTCTGTGTGGCTGAAATGGGGTTTTCAACATGAATATGTGCAACTCGAGGGAGAAGAGTGTGGAAAGTAGCAGAAGAGGGGTAGGAGTTTCAAACAGTGTGAAAGCAGACAGAGCAGCTTCCTCTCCTTACAGAGGGGCTGCACGAATTTTAGGAATTCGGAGGGAGGGGGGTTGGGGGTTTTCAAATGGTGGGTCAAGGCCTATTAGTGGCTCTTGAAATCAATTTAATGGGTTAAGAGATGCATTTTTGAAAAGCTAGAATAGCGGATAGGGCAGGGTAGAACAGAGCAGATCCGTATAGAATAAAATATTCAGAAAGAATCATACAGAGCATGGGAAAGCCTGGCTGCATTAAGCTTTTGTTTCGTATACCTCAGTGTGGGTTCTTGTCAAGAACTAAAATGTATTTCTTTGGGGTATGACCAAAAAGCATGAAAGCCACCTGTCCAGGCCTCACCAAGCCCACCAGGCACAGTGGGATGAGTGATGCACAGAGAGCTGCCCCAAGGGGGATTGTTACGCCCTTTGGTTTTGTTCTCCAGAGAACCGTCCCTGAAGTCCCCCAGCCTGGCCTGTACCTGCACGATGCTGCTGATGACCATGGGGAGAATGTTCAGGGGGAAGCGAAGGATGTTGAACAAGGCCAAGGACACAAAGGCTTTCTGGGCGTCCAGGATGTTGTCCTCCTTGGTGGTCACAAAGACGGCAAATGTAGACAGGGCCACCTGCAAGCAGAACGCCCATCACTGACACGTGTGCCCGAGTCAGTCACAATCTGGGAGCAGTTACACACCCCCCCC